CTTGACGGTGGGTATCCGCTTTTGGGAAACACTGCAAAGCTCCTTGGCAATGTATTCAAAGGCCATGGCACGCGTCGCAAGGAACTCGATATAAGAATGCGATGCGTCCGTGACCAGGAACTCGGGAGAAGCCGCTTCTACGCCGTCCCACCTGAGGTGTGGTTGGACTTGTGGCTCTTGAAGCAGGGTGTGGAAGAGGAAGTTAGTAGCTCGCAACTCTTCCATGACCAACTTTGAAGAAAGGGGTGAACTCCACAGGATCTGGAAGATGCGCAAAATCTTCCGCTTAAGAGTTATTAGGTAGCCTCGCATACCCAACTCCTCTTGGTATACTGACAAGCCAATGAACGCGTTCAACAGGCTATGGAAGAGTGATCGCTGAATGTCAAAGGCACCATTGGGTTCAATGGCAAGCCCGTTGATCTCGCAGCGGAAGCCAAGGAGTAGATGAGCAATGGTGGGTTTGTCCGGGTTGGCTTTGAGACATTTGTAAAGGAAATCGAGGATAAACACCTTGGTTTGGTAATCCGGCGATTCGGCCTCCAGAACAGGATCGAGCGTCTGGGCGATGGTGTTGGCCAAAGACGCGGCAATCGACACACCTGCCCCACCCCTCTCGAGCTGGACAATGGCCTTGTTGCGATGCGCATGACGACCATCGGGTTCCCAGGCCGAGATGATCTCGGGGGATGTCGAAATCTTCTCCAAGAGCTTAAGGGAAGCCCAGGTGAGGTCGGGGTTTCCAAGGTTGGTGAACCGGCCGAGATCCTCCACGAGAGACAGGTGGTTCATGATGCCATCTTCGAAAGCGGAATAAGCCCCACTTGCGACAGAGCGGCTTCGCTGTCCAGACTGCTTCTTGATAAGGGGGCGGACGAGATCGAGATAAGTGTCTTGTAGCTCAAGGACCTTGATCATGACCTGGACGGCTCGCAAGACACCCAAAACAACGGGAGAATCGTGGGACGACTGTCCAAGCACATCTGTATCCCTGTTGATAATGTCGACAAGAATGTTCACAACCTTTTCATTGAACAGCCACTCCATAACCCGGGCAAATGGGTGCAGGCGCACGTAGGCTTCCAGGCTTGAAGTAGACACGGCAACATCAACATTGACGTTGCTCTCGTTACCCAAGACAATGAGGTCCTCGTTAAACGATGCCAGAGAAGCAAGCGCAAACTCCAGGCAGCTGAGCTGAAGGATTCTCAACTGCATAGGATCGGTGATATCCATAGCCTTCTTGGTCAACACGAGACCAAAGACATAGTCAACATAGACATCAACGCCAGACAGTCGGTTACTGGTGCCCAGCGTTTCCTTGAAAGGCAGTTTGTCGCAAAGCTCTCCATCATCAATCGAGGGCTGGATGAGCGAAATAAGTAACTGGATAAAGGCAACGGGCTGCTCAAATCCATCACTGATGTCGTCCAAAATAGCCTCCATCACCGCCTGAGGACTGGGCTGCAACATTGCCACGGTTCGTTGTGTGTCCGCCTTGGGGCCCCAACCTCCTACTAGCCAAAGGTCGATAAAGTCCCACATGATTTCCGACTCCTGATGGGTCTTGCGATGCATTAGGGCGCGGAAGGCATTGAAAACACAAGCCCGGAGACGGCCGGGTATCTGGGCACTGGCAAGCCTGATTAGAGTTTCGGGTAGCTCCACACTTGTGTCAAGAAGTAGAAGATTTCTAGCGACTGGGCTCTCATAGCCGAGTTTGGCAATGAGGCGCAGGTAGCACTCCAGCATCATGGCGGATTCAGGTTCAGTCTCGGCCTGATCGCTGCTGGGCTTAGCATGGTGACGGACAAGCTGAGACGGGGCGGGAAGTGGCTTGGTCTGGAGTTTCTCCATGAAGAACTTGAGTTCCTTGAAGATTTGGTTCCAAGTCAAGGAGGCTGAGCGTTTCAACTTGCCCCCCGAGTGAGTGGTTTCGTCGAGCAAGAAGTTGTGGGCGGCTGTCGCGCACTCTTCATTAGCAGCAAGAGCTTGGAGCATCTCGCAGAACGCGCTGACCAGAGGGGTGGAAGCTCTCCTGGACGCCCAATTTAAGAAGCCGGCGAGGTTGCTTTCGGTATCTTCCCAGAAAGTCATGGCTGCGTCCGGTCGGCCATCGTAGGCGTAGGCAATGATCATGAGGAAGCGTTCCAGATCAAGGTCCTGCTCGTGTGTTTGGCTCAACTGGCGCTGCTCGTCCTCCTCCGTCCTCAACTTACGCAAAACGTCCGGGATATTGGAGATGGCAGCATCGATGAGTACCTCGAGGTGTGTCATTAAACAGGAGTGGAAGTGAGGCGCAAAGGGCAGGGCTTCAGATGCCAGAGGCGTAGTCTTACGCTGCAACCATTGACGCATTCCCCAGCGTGTAGGGTCCTGCCAGTCCTGATTATGCGCATGGCAGTCGGCGGCAACGGCGAGAAGGAAGTCGAAGGCGCCGTCCTTCAGGGCATCCATGAATTGTTTTGTCCTCTCCTCGTCTTCCTTGTCCAGGTTGATGCCCCGCGCTTCGTAGCCGGCATAATCGTCGTGATACCAGCCGCTATACTCGGCGATCCACCATGCGCGCACCGCAGCGCCGAGACTCGGTATCGCCCAGACATCCTCGGCTGTCCTTCCACAGATGAACTCGTTCAGTTGTCGCGCCGGCTCAACGTCTCCACCACCCACATTGGAACCAAAGGTTGCGATATAGGCACCGAGTACCGGGATGAGGTGTACTTGGGTGAGGTGTCAATCTTTGCTTTCAAGGTCCAGAGAGGATGAAGATCGAGGAAGGCTTACCTAACAGGTGATCGTATTTGTCTACTTTCCTCAGGAGCTGGATGAACTCCTTGAAATCCTTGGACTCGGCTTGCTTCTTCTCGACTGCAGCACACAGTATGAGGGACAGGGTTTCGTGTTGCTCTATTAGCTTGAGGCGCATGATCTCGGACGGTTCTTGTTGGTCCATCCGCTTGGAGACGTTGGGCTGAAATAGGACATTTTGAGCTGCCACCTTCTCCCCGATACTTTGCAGAGTCGACCTGATGGCTTGGAGCCCGGCCACACATTTGGGCACGAATTTCTGGGCGCCGGCCTGGGGCTTGCTACCCTGGGCGGGAATGCCAAAGATGCTCTCGTCGACAACCTGGCCAAAGCCTTCCTGCACCGAGGGGTCGATGTCCTCGTCGTTTGCTATCTGGATGCAAAGGCGCATACAGTCGAGCAGGTAACTCCGCTCGTTTTGGAAGCGGAGGAGGCCGCACACCCACAAGGGACGGTCGAAGCTGGCCTGGTCGCCCTCGGCATCGGCATCGAGAAGGACACGGGCAGCCTCGATTTCGTCGAGATCGAGCTCATCGGCAAGCTTAAGGGCGTCGTTGATGAAGCTCTGGGTGACGGAATATTCCTCGTCCTGAACCTTGATCCTGCCGCTCTGTAGGGCCGTCCTGTTGGTGGGGTTCCGGGGCGGCTTGTCTAGGAACTTGCTGAAGGAATCCGCGTGCTGCTCGAGCAGCTGTTCGACGGTCTGGAGTTCTTCATAGCGCTGCTGGCTGACAGCCTGGAGCTCGGTGTGGAGGGCGTAGAGAGATTCGAATTTGCGTAGTTCGGCCATGGTTGTCGTTGGGTGGGTAGGTAGGTAGGTAGAGGAACGAGATCGAGCGAGGGTGGATGGGCGTGCTGTCGGTGTTGGTGGTGTTGGTGACCAAGCGCCTCAGCGCATTTTTCGAAGACGTGTGGAAGACTGCGGCGGCCGTGGTTGCGCTTCCGCTTTCTGTATGCGCACACCCAATCCAAAGAAGCGCTTCTTGCGCAATCTCGGTGGGTTGGTGCCTGGTTTGTGCGTGTGGGCGTCCGTCCTGTCGTGTTTTAATTAGTCCAAGCACGAGCCGGCGCGTGTTTGGAGGATTTTTCGGTCGGTGGTTCGTGATGTTGGAGCAAGAGGGGACTGCGGATTGGCGACAACCGAGTTGGTGACGCGCTTCACCTTCAAGTTGCCCGTTGGAGAGTGAGGAGGACGGGGAAGCACAACGAATCCACTGTGAAGACGGGAGGGCTGAAGCTTGCAGTGCCCGTCGTCAATTGCGGGCAGCCAATGATGCCGCGCGGCAGAAGTGGAATGCGCTGCTTTCAACTCAGGTATAGGTAGCGATTAGCGGGTGCTACAGTGGTACAACGCCCGCGGAAACCTCAAGGTGGTGCGGATGGTGGTGACCTGGAAAAAGTTTGGCGGTGAGCGATTCTGCCGCGTGTTGCGGCGCGCCAAGACGTTCGCATCGACTTGTTTTGTTGTCGAAAGTCGACAGTCCACCGAGAGAAGGAGCTGTGATGAGAGGTGGTCATAGCTTCACCAGGCAGTAGCATCAGTTCCTTCCTTCCTTCAGATGGTCATCAAGATGCACTTTTTTCGTACTTGGTAAGCTTATCCAGGTAAAGACTGAAATTTTGGAATTTCAAACTTGTTTCTCTCCAAATCCTTTGTTTTCTTTCCTGGACACGACGTTTCCCCTCCCGGTCCTCTCTCCCAGAAACAAAAAACGACTGTCGCCCATCACACGCGTTCCCGTCAGCAGCAACAGCAGCGCTGTAATTTCATGTTATAGCGCCTCATGATACCCTTGCAGTAGTTGTCTTTTTTCGCCCGTCTTCTCCTCACCTTTCAACAGTTTTGAGGTTCTCTTTCCCATCTTCTTTTCTCTCCTCGGCATGTATTGGATTTGCCAAAACACAAACACCGTGCTGCTCAAGTGCCGAGTTGCTTTGCCATCACGGTGTTATTGACGGACAAAAAGCATCGTCGTGCCCATACATGGCTTCCTTGACAACCACCCCCCTGGCTGCCTTGTCCGTTTAGATTTTAGGCATCGCAGTGGCCGTGTTTGGCTTTGAGCCACTTCATTTTTTTTTTCTCTCCTTTTGTTTTCTTTCCTTTTTTATTATTATTATTTAATTCTTTCCCGCCCTCCTCAAACAGGCATCCTCCCGCACCTGTTCAACCATATCATCGCCCCTTCACCATGGCGCCAGCAACCGAGACGGTAGACTTCAAGAAGCTCATCGGTAGGCAAAGAGAAACAGCAAACAAGACTGCATTGTAATGGTTACCCTGACACAAAACACAGTCACTCTTAACGGAAATACCATCACCGGACGGGCTAGCGCTCTTAAGAGTGAGTGGCCCGTACATAAAACAACAGATTTTGTATGTGTGTGTGGCCACCAGATTGACGGCTCGTGGTTCAGGTTTGATATCGTACTTCAAGGGCGACGAAACAGGCTCCCAGGCCGAAAGTCATAGCCAAAAATTGTTTGACGACAAGACATATCATTATGTCTATGAGGCTCTCTTCGGCTGCGCCCTCACCGAAAAAGCAGAGTACTTCAGCTGCTTAAAAGAGTTGAAACGCGACAAAGTACGCAATAGCTGTGTTAAAAGACTCGAGGGCTGCGCCGAAGCACTCCGTCTAGCTGTTCAACATGGTGCCTACAAGATCAAAAGGAAAACAGCAACGGCCATCGCCGATCATATCACGCAAACTCTTCTAGCTTCCGACGGCAACTACTTCGAGCCCCTTCTCAAGGGATACGTCAAGGCGTTGAGCGCCTTTCTAAACGTCCAGGTCAACGTCGAAAACCTAGCCGCTTTCGGAGGCGAAAAGTGGGAATCTTCGATCGACTTGTGCCTGAATGCCATCTCCCGCTTTCTAGAGGCTGCCGAACACGACTCGGGCACTTCAGTCCGCGCTTCCCCAGCCCCGGGAACACCTGCTACCTCAAGAGCAGGCTCAGTTGGACCATTATCCGCATCTGTCCAGGTGAATGGCCAATTGGCCATCGAATTCCTAGCATGTGTCAAGGCACTCACATCAGCGTCGAATGCGCCAGTTTTGAGGAGAGCAGAAAGGATCTCTCAGCTTGTGCTTCGCGTGCTCACCCTTCGTCACATCAAGCTAGGCGAGCTGCAAAGGGATTCCTTTTCCATACTTAACAACATCTTGGTGCGGGTACAGACCGAAAGTATAGCCCTGACCAACACGATAACCACGGCACTGGTCCCAGTGTTATCGCACTGCTGGCAACCTCGGTCTTTATCTCGAGACGCCATGTCGAATTCCCTCAAGGATGAGATGCTCAAGACCCTATATGGAATACACTTGTACTTGGAGAGTTTGCTTCGAGAGGCAACGGATGATAAGCTCTTGCAAGATATCGAAGATTTGCTCGACTCGTTATGGTCCGAGTACTCCAGGCGGGATGACAAAACCCGCCTTCAGCTCGAAGACGTCACCTTCTCAGCGATGCAACTGCACCCAGATCACCCATTGACTATGGTATTCGGCTTACGTCCATATCATCTAGCAGGGGAACAGAACTGGGCCTTGCTTGAGAACATTGCCCTTTTGGAGATAGTTTACGCAAAGAACTCTCAACGAGATCGTCAACACCTAGAAGATGAGCCCGACAAACCACGGAAGAGGCGCCGAGTGATAGGAAGCTCGAACCGAATACACCAAAAGCTTATATCGCAGGATTCCGCGGTACAGCTCACCGCTCTACAGCTTACACCATTTCTGTCCGCGTTGAAGCATCCATCTCTCGAGGAGGTCAAGGGGGCATTGGTGGATTTGTCACAGTTCATTTCTGCGAAACAAGGCTTGGTAGCTTCGTGGGCAATGATTGCATGCTCTAGCCTGGCGGTTCACAAAACGTCCCGCGACCCATCCCTTGCTGCCATGTGGAAGCAAGCATGGCACATTGGCGTCAGATCCCTGAGCTTACCCCCTACGAGCCGCTCTGCATGCGTCCTTTTGAACTGGATTCTGAAAGCGAAGCTACTTTCTGACCATGAACTAGCTGGCGACGTCAATCAGATCATCACGACTGCCGATATCAGCGGACCGGCATTGCTCGTTGACTCGGCCCCTGTGCTGATGTTGACCTTACTGCGGGTCCGCAACGCCATCTCTCCCAATGCCAGTCAATCAACTTCTAGTCACGTTATTCGATGGGTTTTCTTGAAGTGGAATCCATCCGAGTCCGCATATGCTTCAGTTCATGGCGTACATGCAGCACCGGTAGACCTTATCAACCTCCTGCGGGCTTGCTATGAAATGCCGCCTCTTCGTATGAACACATCTCTCACTGTCTTTGACGGCCCCGTTGCTCAGTTTCGAGCAGTCCAAAAGCAGCGTCATGCGATGCTACGGTATCTGTTGCTTTTGGAAGATGAAGTCCCCCCAGAGGACTCACACAAAGCAACATCAACTGACCAGCCAAAGAGAGAGGAAATCCGGGCTGCTGATTTGTCGAGTTCTCACTCGGCAAAGCGGCTGATTCTGGAACTGCTCTTCCCAAAGCTTGATGAACTATTACAGATGGTAGAATTATGGCATAAGCGTGGTGAAAGCGACAGCGCAGCCCCTGTGTCTAGGGATCGCCTCGTTAGCATCGCTTCGACTTGTATTGTCGGAGCATTCGTCATGCCCGAGCTTGTGGGTCTCAACTCTTCCATGTCGAGGGATGTAGAGAAAACCGTGTTTGGTATTGTTGAGGGCATGATAAAGGCGATTGTTGAGTCTCCCCAGAGTGAAGATTTCTTCAATCTAGTCCTTGAAGCCTCCGCGCCCTACATCCCTACCCTGGGTGAGGCTGAGTTGACTCATTTTAAACGCGAGGAACCATATGCCCTCAGGTTTTTTGCCACAGTTTCAAACAGTCTTCTGGAGAAAACCCGACGAGAATCTCCCACGGACAACGATCCAGCGTCTATGGATCTTGATGATGATTTCGACTCCCAGGAAACTCGCAAAAGTACAACAGCGGGGAAAAAGTTCCTATCCAGAAGGGACATCACCCTCAACCACACTCCCGAGGCCTTTTACCTCGACACCAGCCTTCGGCTACACCTACTTAGGATCATCCGTGCGGATGACGGTGAGCTTGGCCGGGTGCCTGATCCCATTGTGGATCACCTTCTGGAGCTCTCCGACGAGGATCTCTTGTCTTGCCGGCTTTTCATGCAGGAGTTGTTCGCATCCGATGTTGTCACACCTGTTGATCTCGCGATAAGGATGATTGAAAGGATCGCTGCGACGATCAGCAACAACCAATATACCTGTTGTGAAGCTGCCATGTGTACTGTGATTGACATCATGGAGGGATTCATCACCATGTGGACCGATGAGGAGCTCGAGATCTCGAATTTGGTTGGCGATATCTACGACCATCTCATCAAACGTGCATTGCCCAACAACTCGCTTTCATCTACCGCACAGATCTGGTTTTCGAGACTTCTCTTCCGTCTGCTGGAGGTCAATCCTATGTTTGCTTCACAGGTTCTGAAGCTTCCTTCCACCAGATCTACGCTTCGGACGATTTTGAAAGACGCGCCCATGGATGTCAAGTTCTTTATTGGCATTAACCTGCCGAGAATCTTTGGGATGCATGTTCTCAAAACTCACGATGACTTAATTGTCGAAATCCTCGAAGTGCTTCCCGGTGAAGGAACGGAGGGCATCGCGTTCCGTCTGTTTGTACTGGCGGAACTCGCGTGCAAATGGCCTACATTGCTTCGTCGGTGTACTTATCACATTTTCGAGACACCTGGGAAGAACCAAACATCGGTAAGCCATGCGACAAGTTGCTTGAAGCGGGTGTCGAGATGTCTCAATCTCAGCAGCCCTCAAGAGTTGTTCACGATTTTTGCTCCCCAGATACTCTATACTTGGCTAGCGGTCGACTCCATCGACGAGATTCCATACAGCATATTTGGGTTTTCGAACCTGGCAGAGCTCCTTTCCAAGAGCCAGTCAGAAGCTGTTGGTATAATGATCATGCGTGGCCATGAAACGGACGCCCGCGAGCTGGCTAAAACTTTGAAGCTTAGTATACGAGAGTTGGTCACGCAGAACTTCAGCAAGATCGTGGCGTACAGCATTGCACAAGATTCCAGTCTCCCAAACGAAGTGACTGGAGAGAGCCGCATGAGGAAAATCATCGGGGCGGAGCCTTACAGCAGCAACATAATTCTCAACTTCGCCGACATCCTGGCCACCTTTTTCGAAATATGCGACCAAGAGTATCCTATCGAAGACTCGTTTCGCAAAGATGCCGCTAACTTTGCCTATGCAGCGGATATCATGGACAAAATCAAAGCGTTTGGTCATCTGGACACAATGCTTCCACCAAACCAGCAGCCAAGTTATAAGGCCAAGTTTCTCAAGCAGCAGATACTACACCTCGTAAAGAGGACCAACTACGAGCTACATGATATATGGACACCCGCTCTTGTGGTATTCGTAGCCCGAAAACTGCTGAACACGATTCACCCGGCATTAGGCCCATTGCATGCCTGTTCCGTGCTGCGGAAGATCCGCGTGCTTATTTGCTTAGCAGGCAACACGGCCCTGTATGGCTACCCTCTAGAGATGCTGCTGCATTCTCTACGGGCTTTTGTGGTTGATCCGGAGTGCGCTGATGATGCCCTGGGAATCACCCAGTATCTCATTACCGAGGGAAGCGATCATCTAATCCGATTTCCTTCTTTCCTTGCTGGATATGCTCTTTCATGCTTGGCTGATCTTCGAGTATTCCTCGAGTCGAGCCAATCTAGTACAACTCAGGAGAGCCAGTTCAAAGCGACAAAATCAAAGGCGCAGCTGTTTCACGCATGGTTTTCCAAATATCTGGCCAACTACACCACCAATGCATGGAAGGATAAGACACAAAAGGAAGCTTTCGAGGCCATCACCCAGTCTGCTGCTAATATTCGTGTCATGGGTAATGCAGAGAAGGGTACCCACGAGAGCAAGTTGCTCTTGGAGATTCTTAAGGATTGGGGTCGACAGCACCAGCTCCTGAACGGGCCGGCTCGATCGGTTGCTCTGTCAATACTCTGTGGGTCTTTCAAAGTTCCACCACCAAGTCGCTTGGACGTGATCCAAAGCGACGAAGAGGCGTTGGCTCATGGTGCTGCTGTCTGGATGAGCTGTGGTTCCAAAAAGCTTAGCAGCGAGTACTTGGCCTGGGCCGGGCGAGTGATCGGTCGATCGTATGCAGCCTCAGGCGACGTACCACCAGAGCTCTTGCGCGAATCGCGCCTTCAGGAGTATCGGAAGAAATCCCCGGTAAACTTTGATTTCATGGAGTCAGAGGAGGCCCTTCTTAGCCTCATTGAAGCCCTTACTGCAAGTAGCGACGGCTTTCGGGCTGGATTGGCTGAGGCTGCCCTTCGTGTAGCAGTATCGGATGCCCTCCATGAGAACGATCGTCCTTTGATCACCGCCTGTCAAAAGAGTCTTTCAGAGTCGTTGCTAGTAGCATCGGAATGGGGAGAGCTTCGAATACCCCGGTCTGATCGCTTCAGTGTCGAACACCCTATTGAGACCGAGATATTCTCTGCAGAATTTCTGGAAAGTCCGGAGTGGGCACAGCAACTCACCACACTCTTAGCCCAGTCAGTACCGGGGAGCGTCGCACTTAGAGTACTGCCTCCCATCTTGACAAAGGTCAAAGGCTTTGCTGAGCAAGCATTTCCCTTTATCGTTCACAATGTGCTGGAATACGAGCTAGATCAGACCCAAGGGATGAAGCAGAAGCTTTCGGAAGCCTTGAAGGAATGGCTGGCCTCCACTTCACCAGCAGCCAGGGACAACCAGAAGCTCCTGATCAACACAATTCTGTACCTAAGAACACAGGCAAATCCAAATGAGACATCTATAGCAGATCGATTGCAATGGCTCGAGGTCAACTTCTCAACCGCCGCGGCCGCTGCTACGCGATGCGGGATGTATAAAGTTGCTCTGTTGTTCGCCGAGTTGGCATCCACTGAGATTACACGCCAGTCTCGCCGTTCGTCCGCGATTCAGGGACTCGGGGATACGAGCGAGATTTTGTTGGATATTTTTGAAAATATCGATGATCCGGATGCCTACTACGGCTTAACCCAGGACGCTTCGCTTTCGACTGTATTAGCTCGTCTCGAGTACGAGAACGACGGAACCAAGAGCTTAGCATTTCGTGGAGCCCAATATGACAGTCACCTGAGGCGCCGGGATGTAGCTTCACAGCAAGACGGACAGGCGCTCATCAAGGCGTTGAGCAGCTTGGGTCTCGCTGGCCTGTCGAACTCTCTCCTTCAGACGCAACAGAGCCTGGACGGGTCCTCGACATCTCTTGATTCCACGTTCATCACAGCACGGCGTTTAGAGATCTGGAATCTTCCTGCCCCGGCTGCGACCGAAAACTGGGCGGTAACTGTATACAAAGCCTATCAGAGTATGCATCAAGCCTCTGACATCAACATGGTAAGAAGCGCGGTTCACGACGGTCTTACGAAAACTCTCAAACATCTCACAGGGAAAAGCCTGAACACATTGACACTGCGTCACCAGCTGGGTGCTCTCGCCACGCTGGCTGAACTCGATGGTGTCCTGAACATTGGAGATCTTTCCGAGCTCAACGGCATCATTGAAGACTTCCAAGCGCGGTCCAAGTGGATGATGAGTGGGCAGTACGACGATGTCAGTCGGATCCTCTCGTGCCGGGAGACAAGCTTGAGCTTGTGGAGTCAACGCCACAACCTTCGGCCAGCGAGGTTGACACCTGCAAATGCTCGTCTGGCGCAAATTCGTGGCATGCTGGTCTCTTCTGACATTTACCGGTTCCATCGTGCCACACAAGAAACTTTGAACTTGTCTACCACACTCACAGATCTCATAAGACCGAGTGAACAAATGGGGCTTGCTGTCGACGCAGCAATTCGAATGGAGACTGCCAACTCGCTATGGGATCAAGGCGAGATGATTTCCTCCATTAGGATGCTGCAGAGCATTGACAAAGAGTCCCCACTAGAGAAGCAAACCGTTCCTGTCAGCCGTTCTGATCTTTTGTCGAAGATTGGGTATCAGGTGTCGGTGGCCCGGCTAGAGAGTCCAGACACTATTCAGAAGCACTATCTCGAACCTGCGCTGAAGGAGCTGAAAGGCAAGAGTGAAGGAAAGGAAGCTGGCCGGGTTTACCACCAGTTCGCCATGTTCTGTGATGAACAGCTCCAAAACCCAGATGGCCTTGAGGATCTTGCTCGCCTCCAGAATCTTGAAAGGGGCAAGAATGACGAGGTTACACAGCTCAAAGCTCTTATTGCGAGCACCCGGGATTCGCAACTCAAGAACAAGTATGCTTCGCACTTGTCAAAGGCAAAGCAGTGGCTTGACCTCGATCAGCAGGAGCTCCGCCGAGTTGAACAGACTCGTTCTGAGTTCGTGAGGTTGAGTTTGCAGAACTACCTACTCTCTCTCGCGGCATCGGATGAGTACAATAATGATGCGCTCCGTTTTACAGCTCTGTGGTTAGAGTGCTCGGAGGACGACATGGTCAACGAGGTAGTGAAGAGGTACCTCAGCAAAGTCCCAACTCGGAAGTTCGCACCCTTGATCAATCAGCTATCATCGCGCCTACAGCATCAAGAAGGGCTCTTCCAGATCACTCTGATAGAACTGGTCTATAGCATCTGCCTCGACCACCCTTATCACGGCATGTACCAGATCTGGTCGGGAGTCAAAGCACGATCCATCAAGAATGATGAGGTTGCTTTGTCCCGACAGAAGGCGACGGATAAGATTGCCAGAGCCATCAAGAAGAGTGGTGTATCAGCCGCCAAGATCTATCTGGCGATTAACGCTACAAGCAAAGTCTACCACCAGCTCGCCATGGACCGCGATGGGAATAAATACAAATCAGGTCACAAGATGAACATCAAGGACTCAAAAGTAGGCTTGGAATTTCTCGCCGCGTTTGCCGCGTTCCCGATCCCGCCGCCGACCATGCAAATGCCTTTGCTAGCAAGCTGCGACTACTCCCAAGTACCGATGATCGTCAAGTTCGAACCCCAAATGTCTATCGCCTCAGGCGTCTCCGCGCCCAAGATCATCACGGCCATCGGCAGTGACGGCCGACAGTACAAGCAGCTTGTCAAGGGCGGCAACGACGACCTCCGCCAGGACGCCATCATGGAGCAAGTCTTTGCCGCCGTCTCGGAGCTACTCAAGCACCACCGCGCCACACGCCAGCGCAACCTCGGCATCCGGACCTACAAAGTCCTCCCGCTCACCGAAACGACCGGCCTCATCGAGTTCGTGTCCAACACCATCCCACTGCACGAGTACCTCATGCCCGCCCACGAAATCTACTACCCCAAGGACCTCAAAGGGTCGCACTGCCGGAAAGAGATCATGAACGCCCAATCCAAATCCGTCGACACGCGTGTGGCCGTCTACCGCAAGGTAACCGAAAGGTTCCACCCCGTGATGCGCTACTTCTTCATGGAATGGTTCCCCGACCCAGACGAGTGGTTCGCCAGGCGGACCGCCTACACGCGCACCACGGCCGCCATCTCCATGCTCGGCCACGTTCTTGGGTTGGGCGACCGACACGGACATAACATTCTGCTCGACACCAAGACGGGAGAGGTAGTGCACATTGACTTGGGCGTCGCCTTTGAATTGGGTCGCATTTTGCCGGTGCCGGAACTGGTTCCCTTCCGTCTGACACGGGACATTGTCGACGGCATGGGCATAACCAAAACCGAGGGCGTGTTCCGGCGATGCTGCGAGTTCACGCTGGACGCGCTGCGCGAGGAGACGTACAGTATCATGACGATTTTGGACGTGTTGAGGTATGATCCGCTTTATAGCTGGTCGATGAGCCCCCTCAGGATGGCGAGGTTGCAGAATGTAAGGGTGGGGGCGGGTGAAGATGACGTGGTAGAGGCAGAGGATGAGCGGCGGGCTGGAGATAAGAAGACGACGAAGAACCTCAATGAGCCTAGTGAGGCGGATCGGGCGTTGGAGGTGGTGAGGAAGAAGTTGAGTAAGACGTTGAGTGTGATGGCTACGGTGAATGATTTGATCAATCAGGCGACTGATGAGAGGAATTTGGCGGTGTTGTTTTGTGGTAAGTTGTCTACGCTTCATGGTTGTGAGTTGAATGTGTGAGAGAGAGAGATTACTGACGGTGAGGTTATCTAGGTTGGGCTGCTTATGCTTGATAGGAGGAGCAGTAGAAGGAAACTACTCAAGAGGTACTCGCCAGGGCTAGAAGAGTAATGGGGAGGAAGTCCATATGATTTGTGGGTTTATATATGTCTATAGATATGGACGTGGAAACATCGAGATAGATCTGAGAGTCTTGTAACTTGGTCATAATAGCTTCTTTTTCTCTTGACAACCCAACTCATCAAATTTGACACGCCTCGTGTTATTTTATGCTTATGCTAATCATCATCCTCACTCTAAGTAGACGCTAGAGAAACAAGCCAAACAAAGCCTAGTATGCCATACGGATATGTACCAAACAGAAAAACTCCCCTATACACACTCGAATAAAAACACAAAAAGGTGGGGGTATCTATCACACAACACGAGATTGGGAAGTCTCATCTTCCTCGTCATCATCATCTATAACGCCGTAAGTAATGCCCTTCCTTCCATCCATCCATTCCCTTGCCATGCATTTGATGCCATCATGTCCTCGTTTAGCTATTTCCATCCGAGAGACCAACCAAACCGACGAGATGGGGGGGAAAAAAAAATCCTTTTTTTGGTCCGTAGTAACCACTTGGCTAGCTTTCTGCTGCTGCCTGGCCACCAACCACGTTTCTCCATCGGTTCGCTGGCGTTCCGCTGGTGACTGGCTAACGACACAACGGCGATTCCTCCTTGCCAAACGCCAAGCAATGTTTTATTCCTTCCCCCTAGTAGAAAACTCTTCTTCTGTCCGAGCTGTATCCAGGAATAGCGAAGTGGGTAGCAACGTCTCAGCATGTTAATAAACTAGCGGCTGGGCTGGGCTGAGTTGGGCTGGGCTGGGCCTTTGGCTTTCGGTCTCTCGATAGCTAGTGCTCCAGGATCGTCGTGGTATGTAATAGATGGGCGCCTTTCACTGGTCTGCCGAAAGTTGTGCCTAATCCACAGGCAGGAAGTTGGATGCTCTATTGTCATCCAAGTCATCCACGCTCTGAGCCGGTGCCGCCACCACTCATATGTGTAGTGAACTTATTCAGGCATATGAAAATACCACGGGTCTCGGCTGCATCCCTGTACTTTTTTTTGCTTTCGCCCTTCCGATATTATGCCATGCAAGTCACGATGCAGCCATCCACAGCCCTCCAGTCCTTAAATGTCCGGACAAATACTCGCATATCAACAACCGCTTTGTCTGTCGCTGTCTTCGGCTGACAAAGTGGTGGGGGTGGTTTTTCGTGATATCCGCTAACAGGGCTGTCATTGAGCGGCCCTCTTTCCCAAGCTCTTCTTGGTAACCAACTTCAATTCAAGTGGGTAGTAGCCTTTAGCCTTTGTTGTCCACTTGCCGCCTATCGGGGCTTTATCAATCTTTTGACGACACACCGGACATGTTCGTTTGGTTGGATCAATGGTTAGGGCGGAATGGAGACATTCGGAGCAAAAGAGATGACCTAGTATTTACAAAAAAAAAAAAAATATGTTAGCCGTGAACAAACAGAGCGAAAGGGACGGGCAAGGGAGAGAAAAGCTTACCGCAATGCGTAACCGTCAAGCCCGTAACATTATCCATGCAAATGACACATTGGAAGGCGCTCAGCTTGATCTCGTTCTTGGGCCTGGGCTTCGCTCGCATACTCTCGGGCACCTCTTCCGTATCCGCCAAGTCGACCACATCCATGAAATTGTCGTCCCCGAACGGATCTTTTTCGTCGTCACTGGATAGCAGCACGTGCGCTTTTCGCTTGTGTGTCCTGATTTCTAGCCCTTCTTCTCTTTTCCGTTTAGGAGCCCCGGACGACTGAGGTGGCAGTGTGGGCAAGCTGACAATATTGTGAGAGGTGCCTCGGCTTCGTCGCCGAGAGCCCTCTGCGGCGGATTCATCCCTCCTCGAAGGCATGGTGTTGTTGTAATTGTTGCGTGAAGGAGAGAGAAGATCGCCAAGATGTCTCGGGGTCTGGGGTGGAAGCGAAGGGCTGGAAAAGTCTCGACTGGCAAGCTCGTTGAGAAAGTCGTCACTATTTGGTTCTCGATCGCTGCGATGGGTGGTGACAAATAGACCAGGTGCGCGCGAGCCTGTGGCGAGGTTGGTGTTGAAAGCGGGGTCGGGGTTGTTGTAAAAGCTGGTTCCTCTACTGTCTGGGGTAGAAGAAGATCCAGAAAGCAGAAAAGAGAGCGCCGGTGGCAGCGGTCGAGGTGGTGGTAGGGCGCGAGAAGCCGGGGGCAAATAAGCGGCTTGAGATTGGCGGTTGTCGAGGTGACGGCCGGGTTCGGCCCGGGCTTGCGGGTGCGGACAGGGTAATGAGGTTCGCGGGGTTATGTAAGCGTTTGCTGGAGAAGGAGCTTGGGGTTGAATTGAGAGTGAGTGCAGTATGTTTGTGGTTTGCCCAGGAATGTTGTGTGGGTGTTGTAGCTGGCCGTGAATCTGAGAATTGTCCGAGTTGGAGTTCGGATTCGGGGCCGGATATTGCTGCAGCAAAGGCGCCAAGGAAGGGAGCGACTGAGGAACAACACCAGGGTTCGGGTGCGCTACGCTGGACAGCGGTGGTGGAAGAGCGTCCAGGTCCAGGTCTTTTTGTATATGTTAGACACACAGCTCAGACAATGTGGTAGGGTTATGAGTGGTGAAGAGGGGGAAAGGGAGGTGTTTTCAGAAAAAGGTTTGGGGTTTTGGGGTCGGAGGTGGGAGAAAGTTGAAACGCAGTAAAAAGTACCTGCAAAAATGTCGTCGTAGGCCGCATCACTCAAGGGGAAGTCGTCATCCATGGCCCCAAGGAAGGCTTGCCGGCAAGATGCCGGAACAAAAGGCAAAGGTTCGGATAAGATATTGAATTGATGAAGATGGGAATTTCAAACCGTTCGTGCGGCGTTTGGTTTTGGTGGCGAGTGGACTTTGGGACGGTGGCCGTCCACTTTGCTCGCAATGTTACAGCCAAACGAGAGTGACTGGGCTACGGACAATACCTAGGACGAAAGAAGGAAGCAAGGGCAGTCGCTAACGATGGTGGTATATACGGAGAACTAAGAGCGTAACGATCGGTATCAGTGCCGCAGAGATGAAATAGCATACACAGACTTAAAGGTAGAGGTAAGCCGTGTCGGAAAGGGGACAGAAGTCAGGTAAGTGAAAGGAATCGTTTTGGCTAGAGGAGTTAAAGATGGATAAAATGGGTGGAAATCAGTTGACAACGAACAAGTCGGTATGTACAGTAGTAACATGGAGCTGAGAAATACGGGGAAGGTCCGCAGGAAAAGATGGATCCAGCTGAGCTCTACCACTTCTTGGATCATGTACATAGTATGTACTTACTGAATGAAATCACTTTGGGCAGTAGAAGTTGCCATTGTGATGGGCGCGCGCCGTCTGCACACTCAAGCCACCGTCTTTGGTCAAACATGACGGCGGGAGAAGAAATGATGCCAAGTATGGAGTGCAAATGGATGCCCGCTGTCTACAAAGGAACTGAACGCTGGCGCTGTCATGGCGACTGGATCGATCTCTGCTAATCGTGGCTACCGAAGCAAATGTTAGTAGCGGATATGTAGGCCTGGTGTAAACTCCTAACAGATATCCAAGAGCGTAGCAAACTGTAGCTAAGAAAGCACCATTCCCACTCATCCGCTGACTGATGGTTGATCCTGGAACTTCCGTGACAAAGATAGAAACTTGTCATGCTTGATTGACAGTTTGATGTCTCACCAAAGATGCAAATGCGTGTAGCCGAGGTTCTGTTGGTGTCTTCTTTTTCGATCCCTGACACGAGCACAGAAGCTTTGGATAATTGTTCCACGGTAGGTAGGGTTAGGGGTATATGCTTAACCCTAACTCGAACCAAGTAGATTGTGCCGTTTACTCGCTTCATTGTGTGGATAATATGAAAATACAATCAGGCTGTATACTAGAAAGTCAGTTTTCTTCATTTTCAGATGCATTCAATTTCTACTCAGTATCGGGGCCGAACCCATCCTCGAGCCATCCGGAGCCATACGGAGATGTGGACCCATCCGGCATCCGGTAGCGGGGTCTTCTCGGGCCGGAGCCAAGAGTGCAGACCGGGGAACTAACGGGGGCCAATGACGTTTCCATTTGCTGTCTAGGCCAATCGGCGAGAACCGAACAGACCGAAGTGGATCGACACTAACACGATCACGGACTTTTTCCTTTCAGGATCGATTTGTCATGAACTCCATGATGCTCTTCAACGCCGTGCTGACTAGCGATCTGGACTCGATCGTCAATGGCGGTGTCATGATGACACTTTTATCTGAGATCACTAGTTGGTTACCAATCTGAAGCGCCATGAGAATGTTCATGTTTCCGTCAGCCAGGTGCTTCGCATTCCATCTTCGTTTAGCGGGCAGCCCGCTATCTGACCCGTGCAAGTGAGTTGAGCCAAACAAAACTGACTAGGAACTCAAAATGAAAGAAACAAAGGCAATCGAAGCTCAACTGGATAGCATCTCAAATGAAAATAGAGACAAGATACAATGCCCACGAGTGAGTGTGGTGACGAGCTGATCGAAGAGTGAGAGGGAGGTTGTACTTGGGTACATGGGTACATGCTAGTAGCGTGCCTCTAACTGAGGGGCCGGGATCCCAATTGGCGTGGACTGGAACTTTTTTGAACTTTTTTTTTTTTTTTTTTTTTTTTTTTTTTTTTTTTTTTTTTTTTTTGGGTTTCCTGCAAATGCCCATGACATCGATGATGGATTCGGTCGCCGCCCCGCAATCGCTCTCAATCCACAACTTCAACATCCACCACAATTCAGTCTCTTTAACCAGTCACCGTGGCGTATCACCACTTTCCGGACTGAAAACACGCAGCCTACCATGACTTGATATCCGACTTCCAGCTGGTGATTATCTAGAATGCTGACCCCCGTCCGCTGCCGGACGGTACCAAATGCGACTGTTGCGACCGCCGCCCGACTCCTCCGTCGAGCCAACCTCTTTTCCCGATATCCTCGACAGCTAGGACACCTACGATGGGACTCGACCATCGCCCAAGTGCTCGAGCGCAAGGGCCTCGGTATCCCCTCCACAGCGCGCCATAACGAGATCGGTGTCCAGCAACTGAGCGAGCACCTCTACAAGCAGCTTTTCCCCCGCGGAAACATCGACCCTCCTGCTCCCGAACTCATCGAGCTGGCCAAGGACCATCTTGCCCGCCACGACTTGCTGGGCAAGACCACCGATAAGACTCCTCCTATCGCCTTTCGACTACCTGCCTTGGTGGGCGATACCCTCGATGAACACTTCCACAAGCTGGGCGTCGACGCCGCCGAACCCTTCCTTACCCATGCCAAGCAGTTCGCAGACGCCCATCTACCCCCCAAGCCGACGAGTTGGGTACGGAGGAGTGGCTGGACAAAATACAACCGCGATGGCACGACCGAGAACGACGTCCTGCCCCAGGGCAACATGATGTGCTTCGATGTGGAGGTCATGTATAAGGATAACCCCTATGCTGTCATGGCATGTGCTGGTACTCCGGATGCCTGGTATGCTTGGCTGTCGCCGTGGCTGCTTGGAGAGACGGAAACCAAGGCCCACTTGGTACCAATGGGCGATCCAACCGTTGACAGAATCATCGTGGGTCACAACATTGGCTACGACCGTGCCAAGATACTGGAGGAATACGACCTGAAGCAGACGAGGAACTTCTTTCTCGACACCATGTCTCTGCATGTTGCTGTGAACGGAATGTGCTCCCAACAACGACCGACGTGGATGAAACACAAGAAAGCCAGAGAACTACGGGAGAAGGCAGAGCATGAAAGTGCCAGTGTAGAACTGCAAGAAGTCTTGCAGGGCGGTTCCCTCACGGCCGAGGAGGCCGACCTCTGGGTCGATAAAAGCTCCATCAACTCGCTAAGAGACGTGGCCCAGTTCCACCTCAACGTCAAGATCGACAAGGATATCAGGGATGTCTTTGCGGAAACAGATCGAAATGTGATTCTGAACCAGCTGGACGATCTCCTGACTTACTGTGCGGCAGATGTTCAAGTCACCCACCAGGTTTACCAGGTCGTGTTCCCTAACTTTCTCGGAGTCTGTCCTCATCCCGTCAGCTTTGCCGCTTTACGCCACCTCGCCTCCGTCATTCTGCCCGTCAACAAGACTTGGGATACTTATATCGAGACAGCTGAGGCAACTTACCTGCAAATGTTACACGGCGTTCAGGAGCGCCTTTTCACTCTGATGGAGAGGACGCTGGATTACAAGGCCGACCCTGAAAAATATCTTTCTGATCCTTGGTTGAGCCAACTAGATTGGTCAGGACAGGAGATCAAGATGGCCAAGCCCAAGAAAAAGGGCGACGTGGAACGGCCAGCCCTGAATCAGAAACTACCAGGCTATCCCCAATGGTACAAGGATCTGTTTATAAAGGTTCCCAAGGAGCTCTCGGGCTTGGACGAACCCGACAAAGAACAGGAAAATAGAAAGGCTCGACATGAATTCATCAATCTCTCCGTCCGTTCACGGATAGCCCCGTTGCTCCTCAAATTATCATGGGAAGGCTACCCCTTATTCTGGTCCGATCAATTTGGCTGGACGTTCCAGGTCCCACGAGAAAAAGCAGAGACCTTTATTCAGCGCCAGATGACACCTGTTCAATTTGAGGACCCAGATGTCGATGATCGACTTAGGATGGATTTTGATCACAAGTACTTCAAACTTCCTCACAAAGATGGCCCGAACGCTAGATGTGTCAACCCAATGGCCAAGGGTTATCTTCCCTACTTTGAAAAGGGCATCCTTTCTTCCGAGTACCCCTACGCAAAGGAAGCCCTGGAAATGAATGCTTCTTGTTCATACTGGATCAGTGCTCGAGAGAGAATCAAGAACCAGATGGTTGTCTATGAAGATCAACTTCCTCCGTCTCAGAGATTTGTCAACAAGGATGCAGACAGCAACACCCCTATTGGCGGCTTTGTTCTTCCCCAGGTCATTCCTATGGGTACCATTACTCGTCGTGCGGTCGAGAGAACATGGTTGACGGCATCCAATGCCAAGAAGAACCGTGTTGGATCAGAGCTCAAAGCCATGGTTCGCGCACCACCAGGTTATGTCTTTGTCGGTGCCGATGTTGACTCGGAAGAACTTTGGATTGCCTCTGTTGTTGGAGACGCCACTTTCAAACTGCATGGTGGTAATGCCATCGGCTTCATGACCCTTGAGGGTACCAAATCCCAGGGCACTGATCTCCACAGTCGGACGGCTTCCATTCTGGGCATCACCCGTAATGACGCAAAAGTGTTTAACTATGGCCGTATCTACGGCGCCGGTCTTAAGTTCGCATCTCAGCTTCTCCGGCAGTTCAACCCTAGCTTGACCGAGGCGGAAACGACTGCCATCGCGACAAAGCTCTACGATGCCACCAAAGGTGCTAAAACTAACCGCAAGAGCCTTTACAAGCGGCCCTTCTGGCGAGGCGGTACCGAGTCCTTCGTGTTTAACATGCTTGAAGAGTTTGCCGAGCAAGAGCGTCCTCGTACCCCCGTTCTCGGTGCGGGCATCACAGAGGCCCTCATGAGCCGCTGGGTCAGCAAAGGCGGGTTCCTGACTTCGCGTATCAACTGGGCCATCCAATCTAGTGGTGTCGATTACCTTCACTTGCTCATCATCGCTATGGACTATCTCACTCGCCGCTTCAACCTCGCCTGCCGGTTGGCCATCACTGTGCACGACGAAATCCGCTATCTTGCCGAGGAACATGACAAATACCGGGTAGCCATGGCACTGCAGATTGCCAACCTGTGGACTCGTGTCATGTTCGCGCAGCAAGTCGGCATTCAAGATCTTCCGCAGTCCTGCGCCTTCTTCAGCGCTGTGGACATCGACCACGTGCTTCGGAAGGAGGTCGACATGGATTGTATCACGCCTAGTAACCCGATACCCATTGCGCACGGCGAGAGCATCGATATCTTCCAGATCCTGGAGAAGGGAGACGAAGCAAAGCTGGATGAGAGCATTGTCCCTGAGTCTCAATATGCGCCTCGCCTGGAGGACATTCCGTATACGCCTCGTGTGCCTGTGATGCAGAGGCTCCGCGAGAGGGCCGAGGCCGGCGATCACCAAGCCTTCCTTCGGTTCATCCGGGCACAGATTACCAATTCCGATGAGGAGCTGAAGAGGATCATCGCAGAGACGAGGTATAGTGACCCATATGGTGCCTATTCCCTGGCTTCGAATGGAAGAGTATCAGGCAACCCACATCAGCGGCATGCCGCTGTACATGCTTCAACAAAGACGGCTGCGGCTTCTTCCAAAGCTTCCATCGCAAGTCGTTTTGATTCCGTCTCGCAGGCATCGAGGATCAAGTCCGTCGCAGCTGGCATTGATGAGCCCACCATCAGAGCGACCAAAGCGCAGGGCAAAACCATGGCAAAAGCCAGTGGTGCAAAAAATGCTGCCTCCACGAAGGACACCGTCCCCAACGTAACGATCAAGAAGAAGGTGGCGGCCCCCGAGATGGCGGCTGTTCCGTCAACCTCTTCTGAATCTAAGTCCAAGGCTTCAGCCACAACAACCACGACAACCACCGAGAACGCCACCGCATCCCCTTCATCCTCATCGAACGTCGATGTGAAGAAAACCACATCCCAAAAAACCAAGCCAACTCACAAGAAGGAGATCAAAGAGGAACCATTACCCTCCCTTGACGACCCCGTCATCGCCGCCCGCCTCGAAGCCGTTTCCAAGACTTCACCAGGGACCAGGGCTTCCGTCGCCGCGAAGCTAGACGCCCTTGCCTCCTTTTCCATGCGGGCTGCTGCGGCTGCTGAGGCTGCTGCCACCACCACCACCACCACCACCACCACTACTACTACTCCAGAGCAGCCAACCGTCCCTCCTGCCGTTGCTCCCAAGGCGAAGGAACCCACAACCATCATGGCAGAAAAGGCCTTGAAACCTACCGCCGCCCCCAAAAGCCCCACTCCTACTCTCACTCCCACAATCAAAAAGTCTAATTCCACATCCACACCAACCACACCAAAACCCGTCGGCCGTCCCCGCACCACCCCCATCCTCCCCTACACGGCTCCCAAGAAAAAGTTACCCTCGAGCGCGTTTTCCAAAGAGCAAAAGGAGCCCATGTCGGTGTCGGAGGCTGTATGGACTGCGAGTGTTGGTGGTGGTGCTACGACTACTACGGCGACGACAACGGGTGATGAAAAGAAGAAGACAACGACGACGACATCTAGCTGGAAACCGGTGAAAGAGAGTTTGTTCGGGCGGGGGGTTTATATTCCTTGAGTACCTCTAACGGTTAGCGTAGCCTCGGGTAGTGTATTGCATACCTTGGTGAGTGAGAGAGAGAGAGAGAAGAGAAGGAGAAGGGGAGTAAATGTATGAATGATTATGGTCGATAGCTATATAGGAGTTGTATCTGGGGAGTACTTGTATCCTGGGGGCAGCAGCAGCAGCAGCAGTGTGAGGATTAGCATCTTGACATCTTGGGCCTGGAGTGGTTAATTTGGATTTGACATGCTGGGAGTAGGGATGAGTTGGTAGTGTATGTAGCATATGTTGTATCTATATCTGTATCATATCACCCTTTTTGGTATTGGGCGTCTGGTGTCTATATATTCGGAGTGACTGGCTTGATTTCCCAAGTCTTTTTGTTTTTTTCCTTCGGATCAAATAATGTAGACCATCAATACCTCTAGTCACTGAAAGTTCTTGTTTGCCCACGCGTTGATTTCATATGCCATGATCTTATCTGGTGTAATCGGTAGTTGGGTTTATCGGTGAGGAAAATGATATATCTGGATATTACCACGGATGGCTAGATATCTGGTCGATGAAGAAAACTACGTCGGTATAGATGAGAATGATATGATACAGCCTCGATGCTGTTTCTCAAAAAGGCCGCTTTCGGGTGTTAACCTCACCCCCTTAACAGAAGACACTCACTTACACACAACAGGTAGGTAACATAACACACGTATTTTGGTAAAACATTTCCTATCGCCTGGTCTAAAACCTAACCTAACCTAACCTAACCTTATTACCTCAACGCGGATGCGGATTGGAGCCAGCAGCTGCTAATGAACGACGATCGAAACCCTCAAAAACCATCGTTCCCTTTTGTTTCCCTGGAAATAAAAAAAAAAAAAAACAGTAATAATAAAAAATAGAAAAAACAAGTGGGGAAAACAAAAACAAGACAACCATTTCCTTTACTTTTCTGACCGCATATTATTGCAAATGACTGCAATACTTTTAGACTGCCTCAACCTGCCAACCTGCCAAACCATAAAGCAGTTACAAACGAGGAAACTATTTGGGTATACTTTCTTCCACTCGCCCTCTCTCTCCCTCTTCATATCCTTCCCCCCTTCTTTTCTCTCTAATCAACCCTCTTTGTCTTCTTCCATACGCCATTGTCCTCCGCCCTCACCCAAGTCTAGTGTGGCAAGTTAGGCAAAGGCCTCGGTCCCACAATCGGCCTCTTTCCCGCTCCAATCCCCTGGCTCCCCCGATTCTGCGAATCACCACCGGTAAACCCAGCCCACTGGCCGACATCCCACCGTCCACCGATACCTCCGCCGATTCCGTTGACTCCGTCATCCGAACGGACCGCCTTGGCTGTCTCCTGCTGCGCCTCCTCCCATTCGCGCTGACGCTGGCGCTCGAGCTCCATCTCCCGCTCGAGGAGGGAGAGAGCAGCGAAACCTCCTCCTCCTCCTCCGCCGGTCTTTTGGGTGGGCGAGTAAGGAGAGCGAGGCTTGCTAAAGGGGGATTTGTTGTTGTTGCCGACGTGGGGTTGAATTTGAGTCGGGGTGACGGCTTGTTGCCCGCGGGTTGGCAGGGGGCGGTTGCTGCCGGTATGGTTGGGACGGATGGGGAGGGCGGGGCCTAGACCGTTGTTCTCCTTGCCGCCCGTTCGCTGAGCAGTAAGCTTCTGAGGCGGCGAGAGCATGGGGTTCGCTGGGATTGGGAGCGGCCTGGACGGCGAGGTGGGATCGGGTAGCGGGCGCGGAGAGAGGCTTGCGCGTGGGGAGCGGATGGGGCTGTCGAGGTAGCCGTCTAGGATGTCCTGCACCAGAGGCGACGGAGGTCTGCTAGAAAACCGCCGCTCGTCGCGCGGCTTCCACGAATCCTGCCTGCTGATGGGCCGAGCAGGGCGGCTGTGCGAGCGCTGCTTCTCGTCCGAGTCGTCGCCGCTGCTGACGCCGAGGCGACGGGAGCGTTCCTGGCGCTCGCGCTCGTACTCGGCCTCTCGCCTTCGGGCCTTTTCAAGTTCCCGCTCGAGCTCTCTTATCCGCTCCTTGTCTCGGGACTCTTCGGCCTGGTAATGGCTGAGTAGCTGACCGCGCAGCCGGGGATCGCTCCTCTCGCGGGTGTGGGTCTGGGCCTGGTGCTGTACCTGCTTTTCGGCGGCGCGCTTCTTTTCCTCCTCCTGTTTCAGCTCGGCTTGCAGTCGTCGCTCGGCCTCCTCTTCCTCCTTGCGTCGCCTCTCCTGGTCGAGCTTCCACTGACGTTCCTCCTCCTGCCAACGCCGCTTTTCCTCCTCGAGCCGCTTGCGCTCCTCCTCGTGGGCCTTGCGGGTCTCCTCCTCCCACCTGCGTTCCTCTTGCTGACGAGCGCGCTCCTCCGCAGCCTCCATCTCAGCCTTCTTCCGCTGTTCCTCCTCCACGCGCTTGCGTTCCGCCTCGGCCTCGGCCTCCTTGCGCTTTCGCTCCTTTTCTTGTGCGCTAGGCACGTGCGGGGCAGCAGTAGTGATCTGCCGACGACCGCCGAAAGAAACGCCCATGGTGCCTTGACTCGCACCGCCCATGTACCCATACTGGGCAATGTTCCAGGCCGGGGACGTGGTGCCCTCGTGGTTCTTGTTGCTCCAGCTGCTGACGCTCCCCGAGACAGAGGGGGTGGTGGCACTGAGGGTTGGAGACTTGGCACCCCATCTGCTGCTCGATACCGAACCTCCCGTCTTCTGCGCAACCAAGGGCGATGCCGTGGGTTGGAGAGACGACCCAAAGGATGAGCTGAAGGATGAAACGGTGGCATTGCTGGCGGTCGAGGTGTTGCGCGCAGGAAGACCTGGGCTCTTCAAGGGGCCGCCACCGGTGGGCTGGGGACTGATCACCTTGGCGGTGTTGTGAGCATTGACTTTGGGACCGATGACAGTCGGGATTGCCTCGGGGTTGGCGGCGTTGGCAGCCCGGCTAAAAGCACCGATACACTGAAGTACCTGTGCGGGGTCTTTGCGCTCGTAGAGATCGACAGTCAGGAAAACGTCGTGCTCGAGCAGGTTCAGCGGCGGGGCCTTGCACGATCGCAGAAAGATGGAGATGTTTTCCATCTGGACGAAGGGCATGGCCGACTGCTTGAACTTGACGCCGGGCGGTGGCAGCACCTTGTTGACGAGCCTGAACAGGCCTAGGGGTTAGTCTGTTTGATAAAGACGGACAGGTTAGGAGGACCAAAGGCGGTTAAGGACTCACTTGCACAGAGCGACGCCATCCTTGAGGGCATCGAGCAAGTCGGGCTGGGGCAGCTTCTCGCCGATGACGGACTCGATCCAGGACTTTGCCTCGCCGGCGGCCTGGGGCGTGTACTTTTCGGCGCGCAGCTTGCGCAGGTCCTTGTCCAGCGAGGTGACGGAAGCCATGGTGTATCTCTGCTTGAGGCGCGTGTTCCAGTTGCACCAGAAGACGTCGGGGAAAGGGTCAAGACTATTCACCGGTGTCCCAAGGGGAGGCGTGAAGTGTTTGGGATAAGGACTGGAATCCAGTTGGGAGATGGGGCCTTGGAGTTGTCGGGTCACTTTGGCGGCCGGAAGGGGGACCAGGTTCCAGGGTCATGTCAGGCCCAAAGCTGGGAACAGGGACGGGATCCAAGGTTGGCCAGGGGATGGGAGAGCAAGAGCGCAGTGTGTCTCTAACCGGATCTTGGATCACCAACAGGGATGTGGTCCAGATGAGCTTCCAGAACGGGCAATCTCGTGGAATTGGGGCGAATAGAATAATCTGGGTGCGCAATTCCCGCCTATTCGTCGCTGCGGATACTATGTATCTTGTTATTTCCTCAGAGGCGAAAAAAAAGGGTTTCGAGTAGTCAGAGACGGGTGGTCGTCGTCGAAGGGGAGGGGGAAAAAAAGGATGCAAAGAGGGGCAGAGAAATTGGCAGAAGCTCGTATTATGTGTTTACACAGGCGTCGGCCGGGTTCTCGAAATTGCGACCAATCTGACCCGAGATTGATTGGGATCCTCTCTCTTGACGGACCTTGGAGATTTGTGTCGTTTCTTCTGCTGAATGGATGGTTCGCGCTGGCAGGTCCGGTCCAGGCAGTGCGTTGTTCGACAGTCACCATGGCACGGGCAAAAAAAAGAGTAGGTAGGTCGTTCTCTCCAGTCCCCGTCCATAACTGCGACCCAAGACTCGGACGATCCGTAAGCTGGCTGTAAATTAGCAGTCCACTTATTGTCCGCAGGTTTTTGACAGGGAGCTACAGGGGACGCCAGCGCCGCCCTAATTGCGATACCCACTATCCCACTCTGCCGGGCGCTGTGTGAATGTGATCAATTGTTAGCTGGCCCCGGGGGACCCCGCTCGCCTACGCAATCACACATGAACGGTAACCTGCTCCTGCACACCTCACCAGCCACACCCAGCTTGTGTTGCGCTGCTGCGGAGATTTACACGTGGCTTGATGCCATGCGTCTTCCCATGTCGGGCAGTCTGTGGCTCGGTCTAATCCCGGGCTGTCGTGCAGCAGCGGGTGGTGGTGACGGACGGGTCCATCCCGCAACTTTTAGCGTCGCCGCCGTCGCTTTCCACTTATCCATCACTGGCGCGGGCGGCACACACACTGGTCACACTCCGGAGCCGACGTCACTTCTTCCATACCAAGACCAAGATTCTCCTCATGATCTGATACACCCGCTCAACGGTCCGCAGCGACCAACCCGACTCTTCCATCCACCCACCCCCCTCTCTACGGGCACTAGCTCCTGGCTCTCTCCCTCTCTCTCTCTCACTCTCGTCTCACCCCTTGCACATCACCCGATACTACAGGGCGCATCTACTGATCGACGTCCGGCAATCTCATGTCGCTCAACCTCAGGACCATTTCCCCCTTGAAGCGGGCATGGTACAAGTGGAAAGCCATCAAGTTTCCATGGCGTAATAAGCTTCTTGTCGGTAAGAACTGAGAACCAACATAAACACATGAGCATCCCCCTCCCCCCCTTTCCCCTGGCCCTGCTTGTCTCGGTCACGCCGTAGATCGATGACATACGCGCTTTCATCCTTGGGGGATCCTCCGGCCAAGAAGTCCTTCATTTTCTCATCATTTACCTTTTTTTTTTCTCAACTCCTGGTATTCTCCTTTCTCATCACCATCCTCACAAGACATCTCTTGTCGTCTCTTAGTCACTCAACCCCTTTCTTTTTTTTCTTTTTTTTTTTCTTACTTTCTTCTTACTTCTGTCCTCCCTTCTTTCCCTTCATAATGACTAACCCTAGACAGGCCTCGACCTAGCCGGCAATGCCTACTATCAGTTTCGCCCCACTCGCTCCACCATCCGCTGGCGCCGAATAGTTCAGTACCCAGGCGGTCGCAGCACACACTTCAGTGACGTCGCCGTTCCTCCCTCTTGGCACCAATGGCTTCGATACACGCGGGAGGACCCACCGACGATAGAAGAGCAGGAGGCCGAAGTGGCTCGGCAGCAGAGGATCAAAGTGCTGGCCAAGATGGCGGACGAGAAATGGGAGGCCAAGGCAAAGTACATTCCGGATTCGCCAGGGCAACCTTCAACCAGGACCATTGGAAAGCCAGGCGAGGAATATGGGCAGCCGCTTCCGCCTCTGGTGGGAGAGGGTATGAAGAAGAGCAGCCCCTACACAGAGGGGACAAGTGGGGGGGTTGTGAGCGGTGTTGATGTTTTTGGGAGCGAAGAGGCGAAGCAGGCTGCAAAGGAAGAGCAGGAGAAGCCCAGGGCGACGGTCACGCAGACGGCCACGACTACTCCTACCAACACGAGCTCCGCCACAGCACATGCGACGCCAGCAGACCAAACGAGCGGAGCAAGGGAACATACCTGGGATCAGATGATGAAGCAGCAGAAGCAGCACAAGAAAAAGGGTATCGATCCATGGAAGCAGGCTCAGGCTAGTAATCCCAGTGGGGAGTGGCAGCCCAAGGCGTGGGATCCGACGGCGAGTTTGGGCAACAAGAAGGGGTGATTTAGATGCTTTCTTTGTCACTTGAGAAGTCATGCATTGGAACAAAAGGCGAAAGGGGCTCTGGATGTTCCAGTCATCCAGCCCTTCTATGAGTCTATGAGTTATGGCGCATGATATAAAAAAAAGAGGGGACACAGATACCTCTGAGGGGGCACAGAGCCCTCCTGCCGACGACTGAATTCATTCCCGTCATCTGATAGCGTCCCAGTCGCTTTCATTTCGACCCAAACATGTGCATAGTGTACCTATTTCGTTCAAGCACGATAGAGAGAGAGATCGCGAGGTTGAGAACATTGTTCAAACCCTCGCCTGGAAGCAGTTGTAGAGAAAAGAGTAGAGGATCATCACCACTATAGAATGCTCAAAAGAGTTGGCTATTTCCCTTCTATGGGTCTTGAGTTTACATAGCCATCTGAAAAGAATATGAAGTCGTGTATTTTCTGTCACGGTGAAAAGAAGAAGAACAGAGAATGAGGACAAGGTGAAGACAAGACAATGGAGCTTTGACAACCAAGACGGGCGCTAACTCAATTCGGCTACAGGTAGTATGTATGTACCAAGATAACGGACCACCCGCTGTGTTTCATCCCGTGACTGCGCATTTGGTGTGAATCTGGGAGCCCCGCTGCCGTCGCGCTCGTTTGCATCGGACCAAATCAAGCGCGTCTCTCTTTTCCCACTCTTTTCCAACTTTTGCTTTCTTTGTTCCACATGTTTCCCAGAATTTCACACCACCAAACTCTGTACCATTGCCAGCTATCTTTATCACAGAGAGAGTAACAGAGCTTCGGGGCCCAATCCTCACGCCATGGCGGCCTCATCGCCGCTCACAGATCTCGACGGCACATCGACGCCGGCCTCTTTCCACACAGCCGCCAACTCCCCCATCGCTGCCGATACCACCAACATCACAAGTCCCGACCACGAAAATGACCAAAAGCCCGGGTACTACAAGTGCAAAGAGATTCCCCATGTCCTGAAACAGTCTTGCCAGATCCATCTCGAAGAGCAGATGTACCTCCCCGCAATCGAACTACTCGGAAGTCTTCTCAGCGATGCCGGTGAAAGGCAGCAAACAGACAAACCCGTCCGAGTACCTCCTCCCGCCCAGATTGCTCTGCTCGGCACCCTGACCATTCACCCTGCATACACATCCCGGGCCCCTGAGCAAACCAACCTCGACATCGCTGCCGAATCGCGAGAATACCTCCGTACCCTCCTCAACAAGGTCGGACCCATAAATGCCGACTTCCGCTCCGCATTTTCGTTTAGACAAGGGCAAAGCAGTGGCAGATGGGCCCGCAGAAACTCGCGAGAATTCAACAGCCCTGGCGAAAGTGACGGCGGCGGCAGTATCGGCAGTTTTAGCGAGGCGGATAACATTGAGAGCAAGTGGTCTGGAAATGACCACAGTATATGGAGAAGATCATCGGATTTCTGGTCCGTCTTGGGCTGGGCGTTCCGGTGCAGCACTACACATGCGCATCGTTGGGCACACTGGAAGACATGGCTGGATTTCATGATTGAGTGCCTTGAGAAGGACTGGGATGAGCGGCTTGCGCAGGATCAGGCCAACTTCCAAGCGGAAATCAACAATAGCAGCGACAGCGAGTCCCAGGCTCAGTGCCAGTACCCTTTGCTGAAGCAAAGTCTGTTTGTCCAATACGTGGATGACCTACGACGGGATAGGAAGAGGGTACTCCATGAAGTTATTCGCGCATTGTTAGCGTTCGCCGATGACGAAAACTCCGCGGACAATACCTACTACAGAGAGGTGTTCAACAAGGAGACAGTCATCCACACAGACAAAAGCAACAAGCGGAAACACTCGCAAATGACCGCCGTCGACTTGGAAAACGACCAGTTCGGCGATTACCTCGAAGACTGGGACGACCCGGTCACCGACGACGACGATAACAAAGCAAACGCATTCCACACCCCTCACCATCCATCCGGCCGAACAGGTCGACGAACGAAAGGCCGACCAAAATCCACCCCTTTCTCCAAACCCGGCAAGGCCTTTGACGTCTCCCCCGCATCGACGCCCAACCCCCTGCGCGTAACCGATGGCCTAGCGGACTCGATACCTCTCCGGCTGCGTCTCTTCCGCCTCATCTCGGGCTGCGCCTACTATCTCCCACACGACGTTCTGTGCAAGACCCATGAGCTCTACGATCTCTTTACATTGCGCCTCAAATCCCTGCCCCTCGCCAGTTTCGAGCTCTTTCTCTCCCTCGATCACATGGACTTCGCCCTCCCACGCTTCATCTACGTCTCCCTCCTGCGCTATGTGGCTCAGTCGTTCACACCCCGCAACGCTCCGCAGCCTGAAGATGTCGACCCGGAAGCCGAAGCCGACCACGCCATCAGCCAGACGATACTTAGAGAGTGTTTTCTGCCGTTTCCGGCCAAGACGGTCACTGTGGAGGATAATGCCAAGTTTAGCCTGGTGCTGGAGAGCATGGCGTGGTGTCTGTTTCAGTCCGGGAGTGTTGATTACTCTGATGAGCTGAAGTGGGCGGTGGAGAAGGGGATTGAGGAACGGGAGAAGAAGATCAAGAAGGCGGGTGGGAGGGGAGGAGGAGGAGGAGCAGCGATGACGGCTGCGGAGAAGATGGGGAGGCAGGTTTTAGAGAGGAGTGCGGCGTCATTGAGGACGTTTGTCGACGCAGTTGAGGCTTTGAGTTTTGCGGAGGATAGGGTAATGGGTACTGGGGATGAGATGGATGAGGATTCTATCCTGGTGGGCAGTCCTTAGAAGTGGCGGGTCCCGTGAGTGACAATGGGTCTGCTGATTTCTGGGGTTTGGCATGTTTTTGGAGCTGGTGTTTGGCGGCGTTCTACTGCACAGCAAAAATGATTTAGCGCTCGATGATGGGTTTTGGCGGTTACATATCTGTTCACACATTTTGTCATATGATACCCCCTCAGCTTAGGACTGGAAGTGTGTGTTTTGTTGCAAGCGTACAAGATTAATATGTAAGAAGATTTCCAGTCCATACACAAACGAGTGGTTATATTGCCTTGGCTACTGTTGCTATCTACATCGGAATCCCATCATTGAATCCATGACGGATCAAGGGTTAGGGTTCATATACCCCTGATATCCGTACCCCACTGAAACGTAACCGCTGTGGAACTCGACGGCCACGACCTGTGACAGCTCGACCACCTTGACAACCTCCATCTGGGGATAGCTTCACATCTCCCAAACCACCACAGGCGAACAGATCCAACATCTACAGACTTGGGGAACCGTACCACAAGCTGCCACGACCACGTATCCATCTAATACTTAATATCTTTCTCTAATGGCGCTTATAACATAGTCCTCCTTCCTCCTCATTCGCAAGCTCGAACCACCTGTTCCCGTCATCCCCCATTCGAAAGTTCGAACGATCAGTTTTGACCGCCCGCGCATTCGCCAATCCTGATAACTAAGACGCGCAATTCCACCCCCTCTCCCAGTAAACCGACGACAACATCGCAACGGCACAACAGCAAACAACCACCACCACAATGGCGAACCACCCAATCCCCGACCTCTCCACCCTTCTCTCCTCCGCCCAAATCTTCTCTTCCAACTACCCCCTCCCCCACATCCGCGCCATCCACAAGGCCCTCCATGCCGAGATCGACGACAAGCAGTCGCGCCTGCGCACCCAGGTCGGCGGCTCCTACCGCGAGCTGCTGGGCACGGCCGACACCATCGTGCAGATGCGGGGCGACATGGAATCCGTGCAGGCGACATTGGGGCGCATGGGTGGAAGGTGCGGCAGGCAGGTGGTGAAGGAGAAGATGGATGGACTCAAGAAGTGGGATGAGAGCGAAGATATGCACAACACGAGCAGAAGGGAGGCGGCGAGGGTCAAGATTCTGGAGGGGTGTGTGTTGGCTGTCCAGAAGTTGTTGAGACGGGAGGAGAAGGCCGCGGGGAGGGATACCAGGAAGATGAGAGGAGGGAAAGTGGAAGAAAAGGAGGCAGTAATGTCCAAAGGGGATAAACTGCTTGTTGCGGCGAAGGTGTGCGTGCTTGGAAGACTGCTGGTGAAGACTTTTGAGCGGGAGGGCATTCATACCGAAGCGTCGAGGACGGCGGTCAAGTCGGCTGATAGATCGTTGACTGTCCTCCGCGACAGACTCCTCCGGTGCATCGACAGCGTGCTGGTGAGCGTCAACGAGAAACTCACGCCGCGCAGCGATCTCCTCAAGGCGTTGAGCGCGTATAGTCTGCATACCAGCTCTGGAGCTCGGGACACTCTTCGCCACTTTCTCGACGTCAGGGGGAGTGCACTGTCGCTGTCCATCAACAACAACAACAACAACTGGGAGGGACAGCCGTCAGCGGCAGTTCGAACACCCAAGGACATCCTCAGACGGCTCAACCTCTACGCCAAAACATTGCAAGACGTACAAGCCCTCACACCCAACAAGCTCGCGGACGCGCTGAACGGACTCAAGAAGAAGGCGCTCCTGACAGATGACGCCCTCCGCGCCATCGAAGGTCTCCGGCTGGACATCTACTCGCGCTGGTGCGGCGACGAAATCCGGTACTACACGCCCTTCATCCGGCACGACGATCTGCAGGCCGAAAGCGTCAACAGCCTGCTGTCTGAATGGGCCCCCGTGCACCGCGACGTTTTTATTGATGACCTCGACAAGACCGTCAAGTCCATGAGCGAATTCAAAGCCATCGTCGACCTGCGCACCTCCGTCCTCCGCCTCTGGATCGCCGAGAGCTCGCGCGTCCGGTACGATTTCGCCTCCAAAGACGACAACGACAGCTCGCCTGATGGCATCCCCATCAGCACCTCCATGTTCAGCCGAATCCGCTCCACAATCAACAACCACCTGCTCTCCGTGATCGACACCAAAGTGCACAAGCTCCGTCTCGTCGGCTCCGAAGCCTCGGCCGCTCTGGCCGCCTGGCGCGAGGGCACCACGGACGCGCACCTCTCCCTTTGGGACCCGTCCGCCTTTTCAGGTATCGACCTCACCATCCCCTCTGGTGGCCCCTCTGGCAGCGGCGCCGCCCAGCAATTCGCCTCCGAAGTGATCTCCCGCCTCTACGGACGCAACGACGCCGTCTCCAAAGCCGTAGCTTCTTACAAGTCCTGGTTCCACGTGATCGACGACGTCGGGTCCGTAGTCGAGCAGTTGCGTCGCCAGCGGTGGGAAAACGACCTCGAGGACGAAGAAGAAGGCGACATGATGATGGTCGAAGACGAAGAGACGATCGAGCAGCGCCACCAACTTCTCTCGCGTGAAGACCCGGAAAGATTAACTACCCACCTTAGCGAGTCCCTCGTGAAAGCGTTTGCCGCGCTGGATGAGCACTTGACGGACCTGTGGACCCAGCAGAGGGACGGTCCGAATAATGGGCAGATAGCAATGTACCTCCTTCGTCTGCTGCGGGATATTCGTAGTCGTTTACCTGAGCAGCCTCAGATTCCGATGG